GAATTTTATTCTTTTTCAAATGTGCTTTTTAATTATAATAATTAATAATAAATTTAAAAACTTTTATTAAGAGTAAATTTCACTTTGAATTTCATAAAATGTGTGCAAAAAAACTTTCCCACCTGTCCGTTACAATATTTGCTTTATACTTTTTGATTGTTTATGCATTTTTGTAAATATTTCAATTATATTATCTATTTACATTATACCTAATCATCTAAAAATAGCTTGTTTTTTGTTTTTTTATTTATTTTTTATTTTTTAAACAGGAAAACTCTTTCCATAACATGGCAGACCAAAGAAAAAGAACAATAAAAACTAACAAAAACAACAACCTTGCTCTCGCTCTAGTACTCCAGAGCAATAACCAAGTAAAAGACAGAATACTTTACAAACTACTGAATCTGAAAGTAGTGTCTCCACTAACAACAACAATAAAGAAACTTCAGTTATTATGGAAGTAGATCCTCTTCCACTCGATAAAGGAAAGGGCAAAGACGTCTTGACAAGTGAAATAACTCCAGTTATCACTCTCAACCAAACACTCATAAATGTTGATAATGCTAATGATGCTTCAAAAAATTTTTTGAATAATAAGAAAAACCCTCAAGAAATTTTCACTAAAAAAACAAATTTTTCACATTTTTTTCAGCAGACGAATACCCTAGAAAATCCTCTCAAACAAAAATCTCTGATATTACTGACCTCATTTTCAATCAGTTTGACTTATTTTCGGGTGTTGTAATTACCAAACACCCAGAGGACCAATCAAAGAAGATCTTAAAAGTGATATTTTCTGATAAAGATGAAAGGAACGCATTTTGTAAAGTCATCTTGCCTAATTTAGAAAATCACACGTTTTTATCCTTTAAAATAGTGACAAAACATCTATTTATTTCATAACAATCAATTAAAGTCACTGAAATACCATTGAACGCCACAGAATTGCGTATCAAAAAAATCTTCTCCTGATTTAGAAAGATCGTTAGATTTAATATGAAAACAAAGAACTTATAGCAACAAGTTACGATTACATATAATGCAGATACAAATTTTGTAGAACTCAAAAAAGGTTACAGTGTCTTTCTTCTCAATAACATAATTCGTTTCTACATGTATGACCTGCTACACAACAAAATCTTAAAATGATCTAAATTCTCAGTCAAACTTACATGTCTCTATCATTATACTATAAGTAAAGACTTATCTGATTTGGATCTGATAGTTAATGCAACAGCCTGGATTATTCCTAAAACTAGATCTAATTATCACAATCTATAACATGCTTTCTTTTATTTTCCTTTAGCTGATGACTACGAAATAGTGATTAGTAATAACAATCTCATTATCAATAGAAAACACATAGAATGAACTGAGACCTAAGTCAAATTATGTGCTATTTGCTTCTCATCACATCACAAAATCAAAGATTACCCAAAAAATATCGTACACTTCAAAACAAAAGCATCCAATATTAGGCATGGATCAGTCCTGGTAAGACCAGTTTTAGACTGATTAATAGGACTAGTCCTTGCAGTTCTCAGTCCTTATTCTGAGAACTGGTTCAGACTGGTCCTTTATTATTTATAGCATATATTATTTTAAATTAAGGATTAATGTTAATATTATAAAATACTTATTTTATTTATAAAATATTATAAAATTATAATTGGTTCGACCTAATCCAGTTTTCATCTCTCTTATGAAATGGACCAGTCTATAAGTCCTTGAACCTATCCTAACATTTTATTATAATGATAATGTTTTAAATAGAAATAGAAAAATAATGAGATTAACAAAGGCATAGTAATCATTTCGTATGCAATTATTATTATACTTTTTATATAGCAGATTTATATTTATTTCTAATATAGTCTATACCGATCCTTAGACTATTCTTGTAAATCAATCTGGATTGAGAAGGAAAAAAATCTTAGACCGGACTGGACTGGTAAGACTGAGACCAGTCTTAGAACTAGACAGAAAAGGAAACAATATTTTAGATTAGACCAGACTAGTAGGACCGAATAATGCAAAACCGGTTCTAAGATTAACTTATGGACTGGTCTGATCCTAAGAAAGATGAAAGACTGGTCTTTTTAGACCAGACTGGATTAGACTGAACTGATCCAACCCTACTCAACATCTGTACCAAAGATTTTAACTAGCACAATATAATAACTACAAAGCCTCAATTCGTCTCTGTAAAGGTGCCATTAGTCCTAATATCATTTTAACTAACATTATCATAGATGATACACAGAAACTACCTAAACAGACTAGTAAGCCTACAGAACTATGATCTTTGAATAAGAATACAAAAAATAGTCTTCCAATATAATTCTCTATCTTATCACCAGATTGGAGTGATAACATCTCTCTGAATATAGAATAATAGAACAACTAATCTTGCCAGAAATAATAAAATTTACGTGACATCTCTGCAGGAACAAAAACAGGAGACTCTATATATGAGAAAGACACTGATAGTAACTTTAAAGACTTTATTAAAGCAAGTTTTTTACAACTTATCCAAAAACTCAACGATCTCACAGTTACCTTAGGATCTACTATGAAACGAATGGAAATAATCGAATAAACACTCAATATTAAAGTTAGCTTTCTTGACGAAGAAGCAATGACTGATTATAATTTTACACCTAAAAATGATGTGCAAAAATGATCTACAAGGCTGGAAGGATGATTAATTTTTGTGTTATGTTAAAAATGATTTGCAGTACTGTAACTAAATTAGATCATTAAATGATTTACATGTCTTATTTCCTAAATTTGGTAGTCTAATTTTGTTATACAAATAGGCCTTATTACGTCATA